CTTATCCATCGAACAGTCCACCCATCAAACCCATACCTCTCTAATTTAGAGAAGGATGTTGTGGGGGACTGGGTTTCTGTGGGTTATGTGGAGTGTCTGTATGGGGGATGGGATGGTTTGGCTTTTTTCATTTGTTAAAAACAAACTTTGCCCTCAAACCACTCTGCTTCAGTCTGCAGGTTCCAGTCACCTCTCAAACTGCTGCCTGAGGCATTGCTAGTAGTGTGTATAAGGACAATCGAACAATGGAACATTGAGGGTTTGGGGCTCACATGCATGCAATCCATGTTTTTATGATGGGATCCATATAGCCAAAACTGTCTTGAATGGTAGTTATTATGAAGTAGCTAAACATCTTAGTGTACCATAAATCACTTTGACCTTTTTAGGGACCATAAGGGACTGGAAATTATTCCCACACACCGCCCCCCCCCCCCAGCATGTAAGTGTCAAAACAGTGTGAATGCAATGTCTTTATTTCATCACTAAGTAGTATAAAAATGTCTGTTAATCCACAGAAATGGAAAGTAATTCTTGGGGCTCAACATATGTGTTCTTATCTCTGCCTTGGCTTGTAAAAATACAGAAATCTAGCTAGAAGGGGGAAATACTAGTGGTGAAATATTTCTACTAAGCTGAAAATTCTAATCAAAAGCAGATTTTTGACAACAGTATCTGGGTGAAAACAAATTGAGGGCTGGAAGCCTGTGTGTTTTCTAGCTGAAAGCTTGTGCTTTAAACCATAAGTTACAGATTGTAGGGGTGAGCAGCCATGAATAGTGCCTCTAGACACTGCCTTGTCAGTCCAATCTTTTCCCTGCAGATGTTTGAATTTCCAGATATTTGAATATTTTTAGTTTCTTCCTTTATCATAGAGTGGTGGACCTGTTTGTGTACTGTTGTGATTGAACAGGTGTATGGAACCACTTGTGTAGAGAGAGTGTGAGATAGTTGAAAGGATCAAGTAGTTCTCAGCTGATTTTCTTCCATGTGCTAGACCTATCACAAGCAGAACTCTTGCCTAATGATGCTCTCTCTCAAAGACCAGGGAAAGCTAGCATCACTTCTGCTGCTTTTACTGGTATTTACAGACTAACCTTTAAAATTTTACCTCATTGTGCTATGGTTTGCACAAAACTATAGATAGTTTTGTAGATGACAAGGATCTATGGGCTTTAGAAAAGGTGCTGTGATGCTTATTTGGAAGCCTGTCTTTGTTATAGCATTCAACAGCAACTGGCATTATAACTCTTCTTGAGCAGTGGGGAGCATACCAAAATTTGTATGGATGAAAGCAGAGAAGCATGTAGTGCAGATACAGGAAAGCTCTGCAAGGCAGTGGTTTAAGAGTTTATGGCCTTCATTACATCAGGGGACTTGACTGAACATGAAACTGCATCACAGAATGACTTGGATTTTGTTCTCTACTTTCCCTACTGACTCACTTCTTCCCATAGTCAGAGATAAAGGTTACTCTGCAGCTGCTGTGTGAATATCCCCACAGATAGCTTTTGGCTACAGAGCCTTTTTATTTTCGTTTGGGGCCCACTAGCTTAGAATCACAGAATCATTTAGGCTGAAAAAGATCTTTAAGATCATCAAGTCCAACTGTTAAGCTTGGCAGAAAGTAAGCTTCTACTGTGTCAGGGGCAGGTATTTTTGTAGATGGTAACCTCGGGTATCTTCTCTTAAAATCACACACAGCTGAAGCTATATTAGCCAGCAAATATTTCTTATTGCCAGAAACTTGTCATATTTGGACAGTAATGTAACTGTGTGAGTTGCTATTCAAAATCGCACAAGAACCAGGCTATCTGTCTCATTTGTGAATTGGTAAGTGTCCATGTGAGAAACTTTCAGTGTACCTCTACACCTCTTGCCGCTATGCTGCAAGGCATCTTTCCTTTAACTTGAGTTCTTCCTTGCTCTCTCAGTTGGCATTATTGTTACAGGATCAAATTATACTAGGGAAGAATGGTAGAGATCAGTCAGAATTGTAGTATGTCAAGTCTGGAGGTAGACAAAATCTCAATGGTTTTCAGTTCACCACAATGTCCTTGTACTGCACTCACTTTATTCTCCTAAACAGAGTGGAGAAGATAACGAAACTCTGGCAGTCTGACTACTCTGAACTGCGTATACTGTCTGGATGCAGTTAATTCCTACTAGTAGTTGTAACTTTTAAGTATTTCTGGTAAGCTTTTGGCATTTGCGTTGCCTTCCTTGGTAAGGCTCCCTATTGGGGATAACCAGTGTATTTACTTTGAATGTTAACTTTGTCAAAAAGACACAAAGATCTTACTCTTGTCACTCATGGTTACTGTAGTTCTACAGAGTTGAATTTTGGGTGGAGAATGTTTTGTAGTACCCCTCTCTTAATCATTTGAGTGGTGGTTTCCTGAAAGATTTCTAATCAACTTACAATATAGGACATCAGAAACAATAAACAATTATTCTTCTTTTTCCATTGCAGGGTGTAGGTAGCTGCAACTGTTTAAAGCTTTCTAACTCTTGGTTTCTTTCAGTCAGTGGCACAAAGGGTTTGTCTGTCAATGACTTTTTGTCTGGCTTGGAGAATTCTGGATGGCTGCGTCATATCAAAGCTGTGTTGGATGCTGCTGTCTTCCTAGTCAAGGTAACTTGCATGCTGCTGCTTTATTTGATGGGAAGTTGACTTGCTACCAGTAAGGCAAAATTATACTTAATATTACATAATGTGTGAAAATTCTGCAATTGACCTGTTTGGAGGTAGATGCTTAGTATACACCAATACATCTGATATGCTTTTTAAGTATTATGTGTTTCTTTACAATTGGAGATGTTAAATATGCCAGCTAATGTTTTGGGATTTTTTTGAATGCTGTTTGGTCACCTTACTGGGAGATGAAGGCATTCTTATGCTCCCTGGTTCTTTTAGGTATTTATGAAAGGTGTAACTACTTTGGAGGTGGATGGAGCAAACAGAAGTCCTGGGGGCACTAATTGCAGAGCAGGCAAACTAGCTATGCTGACTTCATTTGGCAAGGAAATGGGACTCCTTTATGAAGAATTCAGAGGAACAATTGCCTTTCAGGCACTTATGAAGCCAAGGGGGGGCTGGGTGAAGAAAAAACCTGGATCTCTTTTTTTTTTTTACTAGGTGAAATAACAAGCAGTTACTTTAGTTAGTAGTGGATACTTCTCCTAAAGCTGATCCTCAAAAATATCTGGGCTAACAGGATTTGAATTCCTAGCTGAAGCTAGTAAGCATTTCCTAGTCCTTAGCTTTTCTGTAGTATAATGATGAACAAGTGCGTATCTTTGATGTATTTGTTGTTTCGTTTTTTTTAACCTGTTTGGTCTGTAATATGTAGTCCACTTCTTTCTTAGTATGCATTGCAAGGGGGTTTTATAAGTTTAGTTTTATATGGGGTAGAAAGAGAACTGGGAACTACTGCAGATGTTGTTATCTTGTGCCAAGGTGGTGGTGAAATTTCTTTTCTTTATAAAGATTTTTCTATACTTTCATGGAGAGAAGTTCCTAGCTTTCTGATTGTATCAAATCCTTTCCTCATAATAGACCATTTTATTTAACAAAGCCAGAAAAATGTTTATGCTGTGAGTTTGGAATAAATGTAGCTTTTTTTATTTACTAAATTCTGACTTTTGTCTAGAACATTCACTAAGAAACAACTGTATTTTGCAGGCAATAGCAGTTGAGAGCGCAAGTGTATTAGTGCACTGCTCAGATGGCTGGGATAGGACTTCCCAAGTTTGTTCTCTTGGAGCTCTCTTACTAGATTCCTATTACAGAACAATCAAAGGATTCATGGTAAGCAAGCTGTTGCATTGTTGAGGAGTTCCCTAGTAAATGAAGGATGTAAAATGTTTGAGTGTGAAAGGGAACGGTGTAAACATACTGATCTCTCTTTTTTTGTAGTTACAAATATAAAATAAGACTTGCAGTACACTGATAAATCTTTCCTTTAGAAATACTTTGCTACTGGGAAGAACCATTTATTTAAAATCTAAAAACTGAAATACAAATAGCAGATTGCAACACTTCTGTAGGGTGCCTAAAGCAATGATTGCCTTTTGCATCTGAAAAAGCCCCTTATCTACGACATACAAGGATTCCAAAGTGCTTATGTGAGATAGTAGATGTACTAAATTATAGTAGCTCTGTGCTTTTATCACTTGTCCCAAAATCAACATTATTAAAATGTAAAAATGACAGCTCCCCCAGTGACAGAGACCTGACGATGTTTAAGCAATCTAAATTTCTTCATCTTTCTATAGAGAGAAATTCCGGTGTGATTATTCCAAATTTCAGAGTAGGAAAATCAATGGTGTTTTGCAGTAGTAATACAACTAATAATGCAACTCCTGAAAGATAGTACATAAAACTAGTTCCATGTATTGGTTAGAACTAACTGCCACAAATATTACAAGAAACAAAAGTGAAGTTGAGGAGGAATTAGAAGAGGATTCATTTCTTGTGAATAGTGAGAATGTGTTTAATCTTTAGGGAAGTTATTTAATCTCTTTTGTTTTTCAGTCCTCACTGTCAATTAGATTTCTGGGAAAACTTCTGCAATGGGCAGGCAGTCCTGTGTTCCTTTTGGTGCTTGATACTGTGACTGAAGTCATAAAACAAGCTACTGTTGATATTAACAAGCTACAAAATGTTACAAAAGATTATATTGTGTGGTTTTATGTAAACTATAATAGCAGGAATATTCCTATACTTTGCAATTTCTTGCAAGTTGGTGGATAATCTACTTGTGAAGTTATACAACATTAGTATACTAAAGCGAGCCTGGCTTAGCAGCAGTTATCTGATTGTCAACTTGCTAAACTCTTTTACTAGTTTTAGAAATATGATTTGAGAATCTCTTGTGAAAGAATTCCAAGGAAACAAAGGAACTAACAGGTGACAAATAATTACTCCTACTGTAGTTTGACTCCAATTTAAAATTCAACATACCGATAACCTGTGGGGTTAATACTATAGATGTACAATTGAGTAACGTTTCATGTGAGATTTTGTTTTTCTTACCCTCTAGGTCTTGATAGAGAAAGACTGGATCTCTTTTGGGCACAAGTTCTCTGACAGGTAGTTCACTTCCAATACAGTAAAATATATCAGTGAACTGAACTAAGTATTCTTAAAAACAAAAGACAACTTGTGGATGTTAAACTACTGCAGTGTTGCTAGAAACTTTGCAATGAGTAAGCTATTTTCAGTAGACAATGCACTCTGTGTGTTGCTATTTATTCAAATATCTATTGGATAATTGATTTATGTTATAGACATAAATTTCTAGTGCTACCAGTGCCTCACTCTCAGATGTCAATGACTGCAGCTAGGTCTGCATGTATGCATAGACAGTGCAAAACCAATCTAAAGCTGTGTCCCGGCTAGTTAAGCGATATAAAACAGTTCTGATATCTCATAAAAATGAGTTTACATTTATGTTTATTTTAATGATGGAGTCACACCTACCTTTAGAAGTCCTGTATGTTAAGAGTTCTGTGTTTTCCCTTGATCTGCCTATCATCAGCTATGATGGTAGCCTTACTGCTATTTACTGCTTATTAATTTGCTTTTAGCTGGTGTACTCCAAATGTTGGCTATGGAAGTAAGACACAAAGGAACTTAACTGTCTTCTGTTGCTTTTCTGTACTGAATACAGATGTGTGATTACTTACAAGTCAGAAAAATAGGTTAAATATAGACTTATTTCTATTCAAAAATTGCCCCAGTTCTCAAAGTTAGGTGCTTAATCTCCAAACCAAAGCTAGTGTCAAATTAATGTGCTGTCATTTAAAAACAACTAAGACTTTTTTGATTTCTAACTTAAACCGGTTTTGATCTGTTTACGGAATCTTTTTCAGGTGTTGTCAGCTGGATGGTGATCCAAAAGAGATCTCACCAGTATTCACCCAGTTTTTAGAAAGTGTGTGGAATCTGACTGAGCAGTTCCCACAAGCCTTTGAGTACAATGAAGCTTTCCTCCTTCAGATCCATGAACATGTCCATTCATGCCAGTTTGGTAACTTCCTTGGAAACTGCCAAAAAGAGCGAGAAGAACTAAAGTAAGCAGACATATTGTAATGTGTCTTTTGTTTATTCTGGCAGACTAAGAACTCCTGTGAATCTTCTTCATTTTGGGCTCTGAATAGAAATAGAGACAGGACTGGTAGTACTGAAAATGCTGAACTGCATCAGGGAACAGCAGTGCTTCTCGTGCTTTTGCACACTGAAGACAGTCTTTCTAATTCTGGGAGAAAATCCCATGCCCATTTTTCAAAGGGAAAGTTAAGGCTTCTTTCTCCCCTCCCACCCTAAAAATAGGTAAGCTTAAGTTTGGAAGTATCACTTAATTCCCTCCCCCAGTCTATTTTTAGGTAACTTTAAAATTCTTGCCTGCCTAAGACTAATTACTGTCAGTTAGAAGTATTAATAGGATGTCTCCTAATGCTTTCACTTGGAAAACTTCTGTAAAGTTTTCATCAGTTCATCTTTGTTTCAAACTGTATTTTAAAACCGTTTATTGCAGGTAGGCAAAACTTGCACAGCATAAGGAGTAGTACTTCTAAAACTGACAGTTTTATCCAACCTTAGCATATGCCAAGAAGAAGCTGATTTTACTAAGAGCTTATTTTTTTGAATTATATATTTGAATTATATAATTCAATATTTATAAGTATTTCTGGTAACTTCTTTTAAAAAAGTTAAGATCGATTTGTTATGTTGAGTTGAGCAGCTTCTGTTTTTGCTTGGAGTCAGTGTTTTGACCTTGATCTCTTCTTGCTTAAAGACTAAAAGAGAAGACATATTCTTTGTGGCCGTTCCTTCTGGATGAACAAAAGAAGTATCAGAATCCTCTGTATAATCCAGATTTTTCTCCAGAACTAACTCTTTTGGAGCCTAATACGGTATCATTCAATTTTAAGTAAGTTTAAATTATATGCAGTATCTCTTCTTCAATTTTGTCTTTATCCTGTGTAGTTAAAACTGTCTGCTGCATGCAGGTTTTGGAGAAATATGTACCATCAGTTTGATCGAAGTATGCATCCCAGGCAATCTGTGTTCAATCTTATAATGAACATGAGTGAACAAAATAAACAACTGGAGGAAGACATTAAAGAACTGGAAGCTGTAAGTATTACAAAATAAGTGTGTGTACTTGTGACTTGTTCTTCAAAATCACGTTTATAGTCTGCAATAGTGCTGCTAGCTTTCACATGAATGTCACTACTGTATGGCCTAGCACTTAGTCTATGTAATGTTGACTTTGACTTTCAGTGTATGCTTCTGTGCTGAATGCCAGACTATGCAGCCAATGTTTTGCTCTTAGGCACAATTTGTTTTGCTTTACTGATGGACTGTATTACGTAGAAGTGCTCCTACTATCAAAGCATTACTGAAGATGGCTTAATGTGGGTTAAATTTATGTGAAACTTATCTTAAGTAACAAGGTACCCATCATAGCTACAGCTGTGCTGGTAAACCAAAGACTGAAAATGTTTTATTTCCATTATAGCTACTAAAATGGACACAGTAAGTATTGTCCTTCTTCTAACTTCATATGCAGGTGCATGCTGTTGTAAGTCATCATAATTATGGGGCATATATGTCGCAATGCTTATTTGAAGACAGGGCTAAATCCAGAGATCAGATTTCTATAAATGACTTCTACTAGGTGCTACAGTAAACAGCCAGGAAAGACTGAACAGTGTATCTCACTTTATTCTCATATGACTTAATCAGTGGCTTTTAATTGATACTTCATTCTAGTCAGTTAAGGTGCTGAAACTTCTGAGTAATACCTTCTAAAAAATGCAAGAGTTTTCTCATTATCAGTTTTACTTCTTTTGTGTGGCTAAAAATGGTAACACAACTCCTGCATATGATGTTGCGGGGAGGGGAAGTACAGCTTTTCTAGGAGGAAAGATTTTATTAAACTGATCCTACTGTAATGTAATGAATGCAGGTCACTTAAACTGTATCAAATCTTAATTGCATATTTAAAAGTTTTTATACAATGGAAGCAGCAAGATGAAGACTCAAGATGAAGCAAGCTGGAAGAATAAACAAGATGTAAAGTGAAGTCTCAGATTTTAATTTTCTAGAACCTTGTTCCAAGGTGTTAACTTCACCTGAGCCTATGTTTCTCACTTGAGTGGTGAAGAGATGTAGTTGTTTGAAATCTTGATGTATACTTCCCTACAGCTGTTTCCATCTTCAAAAAGTCAGTGTCAAGAGACACCCAAGTCTTCTGGGCTCCGTCTCAGTTCTAATAGAACACAAACACATCAACGAAAAAAAACAGTTCAGTTTAACTAGTTCAAGCTCCCAGTTACTGGGTGAGATTGTTTGAATTAAAAAAACAAAACAAAACCAAACTGATGTCTGCCCCCTTCCCCCCTCCCCCTCCCAAAAAAAACCAACCCCAAACAACCCACAAACCAACCAAAGAACAAAACCCAAAATAACATTAATCTAAATCTTTCTTTTTCACTTGCTCATTGCTTGCAGGGTAGGTCCTTTCCTCCAGTCCTGCTTTCTAGTTGACATCTTTTAGTTTATTCCTGCATTTGGACAAACTGTATTGGCCTTTTTCAGATCTAAAGGAAAAGTCTTTTAGAAGGTTTTTAGGAAAGACATAAGGGCTTAGGTATGAAACTGCTCTTTGTCTTTAAGAGACTTGTGGTCTACTGCAAGGTCTCTGCTTGCTAATGGTACCAAGGCCTGGCTTCCTCTGCCTGTACTCAAGAAAGTATTGCCATCTTGATAACAACCAACCAAAGGGCAAGCCTGGAAGAACCTCTCCTTCTCTATGGATGTTGACAGGCAACCTTTCTGTCTTCTGCTCAGCAGCAAATTTTAAGTATACAGTGCTTGTAGCATCTGCTGTGAACTGTGGGGGAAAAATGTCTTACCCTAACATTTAATAATACTGTTACATATCTAACCTAGGGTATGTAATACAGGGTTCTGCAGACACCGAGCTGGCCAGCAAAACAAGTGGATTTGCTTCCTTTCAAAGCAGAATATTATCAGTAAAGCAGTCATGCTCACTGTTAGTAACTGTTCTCTATATTTCAGAAAATAAAGCAGAGAAGTGGGCAGTCAGATGCAATCCTTGTGAAGGAACATCAGCAGTCTGCTCATCCTGCACCCATGGCACTGAAGAGCCCTCCATGCTTCAAGAAGGAGCAGCCACTGATCCCTGTGAATGATGCTGTAAGAACTATAGAGGGCAGCAACACAGCAGACAATCGCTACAGTGAATTTGTGGCCGAGTTCTCGAAAGCTGAGCCTGCTGTTGTCAGCTTGGAGTACGGAGTAGCCAGGATGACCTGCTAATTAAAATCGGGCACTGTGCTCCTCTTCTAGACTGACTGAATTAAGAGCTGGATTATTTTGAGGATGGGTCTGTCCTGCATGACCAAAACATGATTTGTATATCAGCAAATTTTGTTAATGTAGACTAGAACAGCATGCTAGTTGTCAAGTGTTTGCTGTTCTCTTAAGAAAAAAAAGTGTAGTTGTGTTTTAAAAGAAATAGGGGCATTTGGTAAGTAGTGACTAAATATCAAGGAATGGTATGTCTTTGGACTTAAGTCAGTTTGCACTAAATTGATTAAAACAGTAATACTACTTTATTCAGTATAGGAAAACACAGGTGGTCTTTCATGGATTGATTTTATTTGGGCAAGAAAACTTGAGCTTTCTATTTTAGGAACTGAAGCTACATGTATATATTGCATATGATATGAATATGTATACCCTTGTTTAATGTCACCCAGTACTAACTTTCAGTGTATTAAGTGCCATGGAAAAGTACAATGTATTTCAAATCATAAATAGTTGGCCTTAAACCTGTCAGATCAATGATACTGTTGTCCTTTACTATGGCAGTCTACCTGGCTCTGTTTACATTGTGTTTGCTCAAATTGTTATATTCAGTCCTGCTTTAAGGAAATAAGGAATGAAGCATGCCTAAGCTGGCACGGCCTTTCAGCAAATAGCTATATGAATGTTAACTTATCACTGAAGACTGTTCTTTCTTCCAGTTCCTCCATTTAAAATGTAACAGATTGGCCTGCTTTTCTTCTCTGGCAGCTCACTAGATTGAGCATCTTTGAAGCTACAGGTTGTGTCTGACCTTAAAAGTTTTGATTTGTGGCAAGGTATTTAAGTGTAGAGTAAAAAGATTAAAACATGCCATGTAAGAAAACAAAACTCAGCCAATAACTGAACTGTGAAGTTCATTCAGATTGTTTACTGTGCACTGTGCAGCTGTTCAAGTTGCAAGAATGGAAGCAAAAGTTTTGGAAGTGTAGTCTATTGACATTGTTCCCAAGTGCAGAAGAAGTCATTTATGTGTCCAAAGCTCAGGAGAAACTGAGTGCCTCCTAAATCTTTCATTAGAAGAAGAGTTTAGTTTTTAGTGTAAAAACTTGTCCAACCTGTGCATATTTTAAGTAATTTCAGTACCATCTGGAGATCTTTATGTAATTGGAGGGAGGACAAAAACTTCTTCTAGCAGGATGCAGTAGAGATCATGGGACATAAGAAAAAAGGGGGAAACTTAGTTTGTAAGCTTAATTATGTAGCTGTAACCTTTGAGTAAGGGAGCAGGTTTCTGCTGAACTTTGTCTTGTGATGGATTTTCTGAGCAGATAACAGAATAGGGAAGATAAATGCTGGTGCCTGGTTCTTAAATAGAGGTATAAAATATAACTTTGGGTATTAAGATCTGTAGGTATGATGCTAGATTAATGCTGCTGACCTTTTATCTCTGGATTTAAATAATTTTTGGCTACAAGTGAAAACGAGTTTATTCTCACCCTAATCCCTGAAGTCTGTTTTGTTAAAATTACTGGTGTGCCACACACAACTTGACAAAATTGGCAGCATTTCCTTCTGCACCATATTTGATTCAGGAGTCTCTTAACAAGGCCAGTATAGGTCATGATCAAGTTGCACTTGTGAAGCTGTCTGGGAGGAATTAACTGTGACTCCTGGATTTGAGTATTAATTCACCCATTTCACTAATTTGTTTCTTAAAAGTCTATAAATGTAAATAAAGGTTCATAAGTATTTTTATTCCCAAGGATATGAGCATAGTGTCATCTTTAAAAGACATTATCCAGTCATTTAAACATGTTTAGAATTTTTCCACTAGAGGTTTTGATAGTTTCATGTTTGCACAGTGGTGCCTTACAGGGTTGCAGCAAGAGAGGTTTTTGTGCCTTGTTATTTATTGTCTCCCCTTCTCCCTCACCTTCTGTATCAACTTGGTTCTGTGGTTTTCCTTTGGAAAAACATCTTGTATGTTAAGCTTGTGTTGTATCTCAGTAGTAACAAATTTATCACTGACAATATAGGTAAGTGTTATCAATTTGTACTTGTTTGTTTTACTATTTAGCTGCTCTGGTGTGCCATGTACACTTCATATTTATTGTTTAGAGTTTATAGACTCAAAAGATTATATTAAGCTTTTTTGCAAATATTGTTGTATGTCGTTTTTACTCTAACAACCATCTAGAGTACCCCTGTATTCAAGGCTTTTAAAGAGAAGATCTGTTCCTTTTCAGTACTGTTAAAGTGAGGTTTTTATTTCAGTCTTCAGGCCCTTTTATTGGCAGAGTTCACTTCTTAGCAAAAGGAATTGGGATGCCTTTTTATTTTACATCAAGGTAGGCATGTTAGGTCAGCTTTAAAATGCCATAAAACTATCTGCTCAAGCACAGAACCTGTTTCTTTATCAAAAACTACAATACTTACCGATCTGAAGTAAATATTCTATTCCAGTTAATATGCGAATAGAGTTTTATAAGGCTGTTTTGTAGAGCAGCCTTCTTATAAAGTCCAGATAGTTCTGCCAACTCAGCCCCCAGGGTAGCCAGTGAGAAAAGTTCCTGCAGAGAGGCAGCTGTCACTTCTCATTTGCTGTTTAGGCTTAAGCCAAAACTACCTAAAGCACATGGAAAGCACATGGGACCTGTGGTGAAGTAAATAGATGGTACCAAAGTGAGCTCCAACAGAAAGCTTGGCAGGATGGCCAGGACTCAGCACAGTGGGACTGTTCCGTGTCCTTCAACAAGGGTTTAAAAAACATCAAGCAAGTTGGCTAAACTGTGGCAGAAGCTGTCTGGAAGCAGAAAGAATTTTAATTTTTATTTCAGTGGATGAACTTTTCATCATCACGAACATGCTGCTTCAGGAGCAGTTACAATACTGAAAGGTGCCTGGTACAGCTCAAAATAATGTGCAGAACTCTTTCAAGCTGCAGCATTAACATGTAGTTGGTACACTCACCAGTTGCTTGGGAACATAATGTCCCAGATAAAAAGATACTGTAGTTGATTGTGCTCTATTGGTTGCAAGACTTTGGCACCTGTCAGTTCTGTGCTTCGTCTTGAGAAGGTCTCGGTAAAGTCTTTGGGTTTCTACGTTTTGTGCTGTGCTTGATCTTCTTTCCAAACTGAACGCTATAAAAGAGAGAGAATTCCTTTTAACTAACCAAGCTGATGGTCTCACCTGAGCAACTAAAACTGATTTCACTTTGTACTCTAGGCTATTTAAAATATTTCTTTCACTAGTATGAAGAGAGTTGGGCTTATTTTGGGGAGGCTTGCTATTGTCATAATGTATTCTTCAATACAAGTTTAAACATCCAACTGTTCTGTTTTGTAGGATGACTGCCAAATCAACAGACTAGGAAATTAATTAAGCAACACTGAACTGAGCCTGTGCATTTTCCACACATGTCCAATTACTAGTGACCTAAATCTAGGGCAAAAGCCTGAAGTCTGGAGAGTGCATTTAAAGAATTGGAACAGCATCCTTCCATAAAACTGCATAGCCCTATGTGGAACAAATGCCCTAATATAATGTTCTTTTAGAGGGAAAGCTATCACAAATTGAGCTCTGACAGTTTGATGTGCCTCATCCTCAGGGTAAGGACACTGGAGAATGCCTTGCTGGGAAAGCTGATGTGTTCTTCCTCCGTAGCTGCTGCTTTCTAAGGCCTTTTGGTAAAGTAACACATCGGCAAATCTCCGAGAACTTGCTACCCCTGTTCCGGTAACAAAGCACATAACTGGATGCACAGTTGGGCTGAAAGTGGGGCTGGGGTAGCTTGGCTTTACTGTCCTCTTAAGGAAGTGACACAGTAATATAAAGAAATTGGATGTTAAAATAGCACAGGGTACATGCTGTCAACATCTGTTCTTTAGGGTCCTGCCCTGCTCTTGAGCAAGTGTGGCTAGCATGAGGGCCTCACATAAGCATGTGATTGCTTTCTAGTTAGTTTAAAGATAATCTGATTTCAAACTAGATCATCCCTCCACAGTGGTAATTTATAGATCTTTAGGTCAGAACCTAAAGGTTGCTCTTGAAACTTGTTCAGTTGCTAATAGTTCTAAACCTGTAGCCGATCATAGACTTAAGTATATTGGTTGCGAAACCTATATAACCTTTAGGATTAGATCTTTAGATTATACTGAAGTCTGCTCTGACTTGCTTTCACCATTTATACCACGCTTGCCTCCAAGTGTTGCTTATTGTGGTGCTTGATATCTGTCCTTCAGGTGTAACAGGCTTCTTAATGCTTTGGATGTTTCAAAAACTGGGAAGTACTGCAATTTTCCTCCACTATTCTGAAGGCTCAGATTAGTGAACGGTATGGGTGAGCGTATGTTTGATCTAGCTAGCTTGACCTGCCTACATGTTAAATAGCATTGAAAATCAGTACGGTGTTGTAATTCAGTGGTGCGACTTCTGTGTGCACAATAGGCTTAAGGAAGAGGATGTAGCTGGGACCCTTGTCACAGCATGTAGCAAGGAACAGGACCCTGCTGGGGTGTGACTCATAAAAAGTAGAAGCAGCGGAGCTGTTTTGAAGTCCAGCAGCAGCTCAGGGACTTGAGGTTGGAAGGTCAGAGGCATGCTGCTTCGGAGATCAGTTTCCAGGTCCCAGAGAATTCAGTGACCTGGTCTATTAAACAATTGCAGCTGAGCAATTCTGCACTGGCATCAATTCTGCACAAGCAACAGAAAATAAATATGGATCTGTGTTTCTTAATCTACTGGCTTCAAGTAATAAATGTCCTGGTGGTGACTTTGAAATTGTTGTGCGATATTTCATTTATTCTTGTTTATAGTTTAACTCTGAGGTCAGTTGTATACTGTTTATAAGTAAGTGGGGTTATAGTTTTTGACACTTACTATAAAAGTCTTTCCCATCTTAATGACAAGGTTAGCATGTACATATCTCGTGCTTTGTATTTCTGCATATATTTCTGCTGAACATTTTTCTTGCAAGTAGGCAGCCTTGGTGAAGTCCCATGCTGCCCCACAAAGGCATTCCTCATTACCTAGTATTACAGAATGGTTTCATTGCTTTCCAATCTTACAGTTTATCTTTACGGCTGTCTGTTGGCAATGTCCCTTGACGAACATCTTTCCATCAAAGAAAACGGGTTTCTTGTTTCTCTGTATCTCAGGGATTTTTACCCCTGAACTAGTGAACTTGAAAAATATTGCATATTCTCC